CAAGTGTCTTAGCCACTATGCTACCAGAGCTCCCATGGGCTGGCATATGAACAAACAAATCTATCTTAGAAGTACCAACATAATCCTCCTCAGAAGGAAGGATGCAAAGACTTCTCTCAAGTACTTCGGACATGTTAACCAGAAGCAACAAGTCCCTGCAGAAGGGCATCACTAAGTTTGGTAAAGCAGAGGGTCAGTCAATGGGATAGACTGACACAGTGGCTGTAAAAATGAGCTTAAAAATGGCAATGATTGTGAGGATGGTGTAGGTCCCAGCAATGTTTTGTTCGGTTGCATAGGCTTGCTATGAGTCAGGATCAATTTGATGGCACCTAACAACAACAACATGCTTACTAGAACTGCACAAAATAGGTAAGATGTATGGACTTTTGTCTCTGCAGGTTTAAAAGGAACTAGCGATCAGCATTATCTGAAAGCAAGGACCTGATGGGGGCTGGGGTTGGCAAAGATGGGGACAAAAGGGAAGAAATTTCAAGCCAATATTCAACAATGTCTACTACACATCACTTGTATTATGTACAAAGTGCTGTAGGAACATGTAAGTGGGTTTAAGAAACAAGTCCTTATAACCTAATTCAGTGTCTTGCCGATATTAGGCGCTAAAATCCTGGTTGAATGAAAATGTCCCTGTCTCAGAGATCTTCAACTAGATCACTCCTTTTCACCAGAACAAACCATTGGAAAATCTTACACTTAGTTTGTAAGGTAGGCAAATCTGGACCTACTTAAATCGTTTCCTTTCTGTATTCAGTTAGATTACTATCAGGAGAGAGTTCTGGGAGTATGGAAGAGAGCGGGAAATTTCTTAAAATTTTGAATCTGACACCTAAACAACCTAAGAAAGAGTGCTGTCCAGTGTCCTGTAGTTTCTACGTTGCCTACAAACCCGGGAGAAGCCACAGAGTCCACGCTGGTTTTCAGGCACTCCCTTGTCTCCTGGTGAGTGTTGAGTCCCGGAAGCAACGCAGCCCAGTGGGCCCCCAGCCCAGCAGAACGCGCCTCCCGGCCAGCCGGACTCCACTGGGGCCGCAAAAACTTCACCACACACAAACCGACCGAAACGCGGACTGGTGACCGCCGCCGGCATTAAGTCCCGGCTCTCGGGGGAAGGACCTCCAGAGCTGCGGCCATGCCGCGGGGGTGTTACCTGTACAAGACATAGGTGGGCGAGTCCAGGCTCAGAAACCCATCGTCCATTGGAGACGCCACCGCTTCTTCAGCCTCGGCCGCCATCTCTTCTTCGTGCTGCTGTTGCTGCTGCTGTGACGGCGGTGGGTGCGGCTGGGGTGGCGGCTGACTGGGCTCGCTGCCCTGCGCAGCCTGCCCGACCCCCTCGGTAGCCGCCATCTCGCCTAGCTCTGCAGCGGAGGTGGTGGCGAAGACCCCGCCCCTCCATGGCCCCGCCCTTCGTTCCCTTCTCCCTGGCGGCGGCCCACTTCCGGCTCTTGCTTTTTTACCATAGAGATGAAGGCCAGAGAGCCCTGGGCAGGCGGCTGAGGCCTGGGGCACTTGGGATGTGAGCTAGACCAAGGGATCCACGCTTGGCTGCGTGAATTCCTCAAGGGCCAGAGCAGTAGCTCAAGTTTCCCAAACTTCATCCCATCTGTGGGCCTTTCCAAGTACTCTGGTGGCGTAGTACCTAAGGCATAAGGAAGAGTGGGTAACCTACTTCCTTAGAAACACCGCCTCGGAAACCCAAGGAGGGGTCGCTATGAGTCGAATGGACTCGATGGCATTGAGGTTTTTTTTTTTTTTTTTCTTTTACATACCCCACGTAGGAGAGATGGGGATAATCCTTTTCTCGACTGAGACTTAGCTGCAATACAGCTTCTAGTGGCGCAGTGGTTAAAGGATTTGGCTGCTAAGCAAATCGTGGGCAGTTGGAACTCGTCAGCTGCTACACGGGACAAAGATGAGGCAGTCAGCTTCCCTAAAGATTTACAGCCTTGGAAACCCTATGAGGTAGTCTTACTCTTTCTCTGTGAGTCGGAATTGACTTGATGGCAATTTTTTTTTTTTAATGCAGTGCATAAGACCAGCTGGTAATTGATAGCAGTGGGTTAGGGTTAGATTTTTTTTTTGGGGGTGGTTGTTAGATGCAGTGCTTAAGAGCAGCTGACCGACTGCTCAAGACTTTCCCTCCCCCTGTGCTAGGGAATGTGAACTTCCTCTTGTCCACCTTAAACTTCTAAGTGTCTATGTTCTTCCAGACGTTCCGCTCCGCTCTCTGGATGCTAACAATTTATAACGCAGAATTTAAATAATCTAGGGTTTTTATATTTTAAAATTAACTTTTCTAATCATACAGGTATGGAGCTCTGGTAGCTTAGTGCCTGAGGCACTTGACTGCTAACTAGAAGGCTGGCGGTTCAAACCCACCAGCCACTTCTCAGAAGGAAGGTTGGGCAATCTACTTCCGTAGTGATACCGGCTGGGAAACCCAAGGAAGGGTCCCTATGAGTCAGGTCCCACTCAATGGCAAGTAACAGCAACAGCAGTTACATAGGTAGCGTGTATACATTGTAGTAAAGGAAAACATTTTTCTCTATACTATAGGAAAAGAAACAGTAATTTAACAGATATTTGCTGACCACCTATTACTACTAGGTTGGCTCACAGCAGTAAGTAAAACCAAGTCTCTGTGGTCATGGAGTTTACACTATAGTGAGGGAGATTATAAGTATCATGTAATAGCTGTATCGGTCAGGTGGTGGTGCTAAGTGCTAAGAAGAAACAAAAGCAGGTTGAAGGGATAAACTGTGTTGCTACACTTTTCAGGTAGGGTAGTCAGGAAGATTTACCTTGGGGCTATTTGAGCCAAAAGAGGGTAATGCATGCTTAGCAAGTTCTTGGACAAGATGATGACTGGAGTCAGGTGAATGAGGGAAAGAATTGGTGCTATGAATTAAATTGTGTCCCTCCAAAGTATGTGTTGGAATCCTCACTCCTACACCTGTGGAAGGAGTTCTGATGGCCTAGTGCCTAAGGGATATGACTGCTAACCAGAAGGTGGCGGTTTAAACCCACCAGCCACTCCTCAGAAGGAAGATTGAGCAATCTACTTCTGTGGTGATACTGCCTCAGAAACCCAAGGAAGGGTTGCTATGAGTAGGATCCAACGTGAGGGCACTGGGTTTTGGTATACCCGTGGATGTTACGCTGTTTGCAAATAGTTCTTTGTTGTGTTAATTAGATCAGACCTGATTAGGGTAGGTTCTAAATCTAATCACTTCTGAGTTGTGAAAAAGAAAAAGCAGGTTAGACCCAGAGTTGAACAAGGGTGGGGGGAGGGGTCATTTACAAGTGAAGGAACCAAAGAACACGCCGGACTACTTACAAGATTTATGCAGTACCTAGCTCAAGTTTTGTCCACACTTAAGTTATATACTTACTGTTCTCATTGAAGTGAATGTGCTTGGCATAGAGGTTAGAAAGTGGGGAAAGAGTGTGACTTCAGAAGTATGATTTCATAGCAGAAATTTCCCTTTGGATTCCAGAATAATGGCAGCTGTGCTAACTTCTTTTCAACATTGCCACCATCAATACCTTTCCTCCCTGCATGAGGAGGTCATTCCTCCATTGAGAAGTATAGTGTATTGTTAGTCCCTTGAATCTGGCCTTGGATGGGACTGTGTTGAGAAACAGAAGTAATGCTATGTAGCTTCTGAGGCTAGGTCATAAGCTTTGAAGTTTTCACCTGGGTCTCTTAGAACTCTTGTTCTGGGGGAAGCTAGCTGCTATGTATAAGTCTATCTACCCTGTCGTGTGGTGTGGCCTGAACAATCCACAGTTGTTCCAGCCACGTCAGTGTGGGTGCCAGACATGTGAAAGAAAAGCCTTCAGATGACTTTAGCCTCAGCCACCATGACTGCAACAAAATGAGGGACCCCCAAATGGGAACAGCTGCACCTATCTATAGACTTGTGAGAGAAAATATGTTGTTGTCTGAGCTCACCAAGTTTTGGAGAGGATTGTGATGGAGAATAGATAACCAAAACAGTAACATAAGTGTACTTAAGGTTAACTTGTAGACCTTCAGCTGGGTGCTGTTTCTATTTGACAACTTTTCTATGTTGTGCTCCATTTGATTTTACAAATCTTTGCAGGCAGCAACATATTTTGGTTTAATTTTTGTGATTTGACCTATTTTCTTAGTCCCTTATTCTTCACCTCAAAATTAAGTATCTAGGTCAAACACGGAATAAATTTTAAATGTAATATTAATTTATGCATGTTATTGAAGAAAACATCTGATATTAAAACGTCAACTAATTGTATGAGTAAAATACAATTTTGGCTATGTGCCTACTAGCTTTTTTTCTTTGTGCTAACTTCACTTTGACTTACTTACCTGATTATTTTAATCTAAATGTAATCAATTTTTACACTGTTACTACCACTTCACATAACACTGAAGGTACCATATTTCAATAATGTTTGGGGAGAGGTGGGAGAAAAGGGTGAATTGTGAGACTCTACAAAGACAGGAAGATGGTTATTTATTGCCTATATGACACTTCAACAACAATGGTTTATATTGTGAAATGAAGCTGCTAGCACTATCACTGGTTCTTGCTGTGTGTACTGTCTGATCATGTCAACATGGTAACTCTAAGAGGGAAGAGGTCATATTTAACCTTTATTCCTAAGAACTCTGGCCCACCAACTAGCAAACATTAAATACTAACCTGAATCTATATAAAATCTATCATAAGTACTGGAAAAAAAATCTCAAAGGATATTCCTGATTTATAATAAATCAGTAGCATAGGCTTTAAATTGACAGGATACTATGGCATGTGCCAAATCCAAGTGGATGAATGCTGTTAGACAATTATAAATGTGTGCTTACCACAGGTTAAGAGCAAGAAAAAAAATTTAAGCTGAATTTTTATACAAGTCTTTATTTACAACTTGTTTAACAACTGTACACTTTTTGCAGCCTTGAAAACATTTTTGTACTTGAATGGGAAAATATAGTTTGACCAAACCTTAACTTTATTCTTCATATACATATACATATATTATATGCATATATATAAACATATAATTAATACCATAACAAGTTGGCAGTTGTAAAATTTCAAATGAATAAGTGATATCAAAAGGAAATAAAATAGAACATTTCAAAAATTAAAAATCCATCTTCTGGTGGTTTCTTGGACTTTACGTTTTTGTGATTTTTAGTAAAATTTCTTAGTGAGGTGCTCTAACAAGTCATTCACGTTAGATAAACAGTGAGAAAATCCACCAATGTCAACACATAGCAAATGGCAAGGTAAACTCAGTAAACAGGTAGAGAAATACTTGGATTCCATTATATACAATGTTGCAAAATCTGTATTGATTCTGTTTGTGAAGTAAAAGTTTTTGATATGGACATCTTTTTTTTCTTATAATTTCAAAGAATGAAATTATGAAATTATAAATTCAGTAAATCACTGCTGTTGAGTCGGATCCGACTCATAGCAACCCCTCCTTGGGTTTCTGAGGCGGTATCATTATGGAAGTAGATTGCCCAATCTTCCTTCCGAGGAGTGGCTGGTGGGTTTGAACCGCCAGTCTTCTGATTAGCAGTCAAATGCCTCAGGCATTACGCCACCAGATCTCCCATAAATTCAATAGTCAACGAATAGTCAACCAGAAATAAGAATATACCAAGCAGTATCCTTTTTTGCAAAAACTAAATAAAATGCACAGTGGATAACCACAATGTTAAGTGTCAAACTAACAATTCACAGAACAATCTATAATACTTAAGACATGAGTATAAGGCTTTAGAGCCAGTGCTGTAATCAATACAACTCTGACTCCAACATCATAAGGTGTTTTCCAGCTCATCTGAAAAGTTTTAAAACTACTCTAGGGAAAAAAGAAAAGCCTCTTCCTAACCCCGACCTTTTGATTAATAAAAATAAGGCAAATTATTAGATATATTTGCATTTTACCATTTCAATACACAACCAAAAATTGGGTGTTACAAATGGTGGGCAACTGTCAAAATAATGAAAACTGCAAAACAAGATAAACATGGAAATTATCCTTCTGAGTACAAAGCATTCTGAACTACACAGAACCTGTAAACAGTGAAGTTAAGTAACAACAATGGCATTTTAGTGCATTTGAATACTAAATAACTAAGGCTATTAAGAAACAAACAAACAAACGTGACTACCATTAAAATACGAAAAGGCCCCAAATCATTGACTGACATTTGTATACAGTCATTTCCTGTATTTACACTAAAATGCTATTTCTTATTTCAAGCATATTGAAAATTTCCTTTAACTAGTATGAGTCTCTGTAGAACACAGAATGAATTAGGTCACCAAGAAAAACAATAAAATAAAGTCAAATCAGACCAT